TAGTAGAGACAGGCTTTGTCCATGTTGGTCAGGCTGCTCTTGAACTCCTGACCTCAGATGATTCGTCTGCCTCGGCCTCCCGAAGTGCTGGGATTACAGAAGTGAGCCACTGCACCTGGCCTGGAAGTTGTTTTTTTAAGCCCAGCTCATTTGTGAAAATATCATATGCTCCTTATTTTCATACCCAAATTTCTGATATCCATAAACTTCCACATTTTATTTCTCTCAGAAGCATACAATCTCTTTCTAGATTTCCTCCTCCTGTCAAAGGTATTTTCTTCTTTTGTTTAACAGAAATGAATAAATCTAGTCTGTTATTACTTAACAAAGTTTTTTAAAACCCAGTGTGTCAACCTATCTCTCTGCTCTTTTAACTTCCTATACTTTTTTGTACAGCATAACTCTCTTAAACTCGAACTTATACTATTAGTAGCTTATCTGCAAAGAGGGAGAAGGGGTATCATGGAGTTGGGAGCCCCAGAGGAGGGAAAGGTTTTGGGTCCTGGGGGAATGCCATTGAGAATTGACAATGGGTGCTGAGAAGGACAATCAGAATCAGTGGAAATAAGACAACAGGAATTTGTGCTGAACATGGTCACGTGGTTTCATGACTCTCCCCAACAATGTGGAAGCTCAGAGGCAAAGGGGAAAAAAAACGGAGAGACCAGGGCTGATGGCAGGCGCGGTAAACCTGGTCATGCCACTCCTCTGCTTACAATCCTTCAGAGGCTTCCCGTTTCTTCAAGAGATCTTCCAGATCCTTCACCATCAGGCAATGCCCATTTCTTCAGCTTCCTTGTGTATCACTCTCCCCTTGGCTTTCAAACTTCCATCACCCTGGCCGACTGTTTTCATACTCGTGGCTTTTGCACATTCTGTTCCTTTTAACCATGTGTTATCCTCACTTTCCACCCTTTGCTTCAGCTTAAAAATCACTTCCTCAGAAAAGCCTTTCCTGGCCGGGCGCAGTGGCTCATGCCTAATCTCAGCACTTTGGGACGCCAAGGCGGGTGGATCACCTGAGGTCAGGAGCTGAAGACCACCCTGGCCAACATGGAGAAACCCCGTTTCTACTAAAAATACAAAAATTAGCTGGGTGTGGTGGTGCATGCCTGTAATCCCAGCTACTCAGGAGGCTGAGGCAGGAGAATCGCTTGAACCTGGAGGCGGAGTTGCGGTTAGCTGAGCCGAAATCACAGCACTGCACTCCAGCCTGGGTGACAAGAGTGACAAGAGTGAAACTCCGTCTCCAAAAAAAAAAAAAGAAAGAAAAGGCTTTCCTGACCCTAATCCAATCAGAACTCTATCCATATAGTCTCTCAACATGTGCTTTACTTCTCTTTTATCGGATCTGTCACAATTATATGTTTATTTGTACAAATCCCCTTTTCATACATAGAAATAGCTCTGTAGAGGCAGGCATGTGGTCTATTTTGTTCACTGCTGAATTCGCAGCACCTAGCTTGAGTACCTGTCACCAACAGGAACAGGTGTTCAATAAATGTATTGAATAGGTTAATGAATGGCAGGAAGATTTAGGTATAAGGCCTTGGGCAAGTTTTTATTTTGTCGTTTGTTTATTTTAACTAGATCTTCATCTCCTGTCTGTTAGATGGTGATAGTAAGAAAAACTAGCAACCTCAGAATTGCTGTGTGAATTAAAAGAGACAATGCATGTAGCATGCTTCGCATGGTGCCTGTCACATGATGAGGGCTAGGAAATGTTCCTTCTTATTATCATCATTAAAAATCAGCTCTGTACGCAAATGGAACTCTCATACATTGCTGGTAGCACTGTGAAAGTGATACAGCCATCTTGGAAAACAGTTTACCAGTTTCTTAGAAAGTTAAACACAGACATATCATATAACATGGCAGTCCCACGTCTGCATATTTACCCAAGTGACATGAAAACTTATGTTCACACAAAAATCTGTACATGAATGTTTATAGCAGCTTTATTCATAATTGCCAAAAACTGGAAAAACCCATATGTCCTTCAACCAGGTACTAGATAAACAAATTGTGGTGCATTCATACAGTGGAATACCACTCAGCAAGAAGACGTGAGCTACAGATCCATGCAGCAACACGGATTAGTTTTAAATACTTTATGACAGATGAAAGGAGCCAGACTGAAAAGGTGTCATACTGTATGATTCCATCTAGATGATATTCTGGAAATATCAAAACTATAGGGATAGGCCGGGCGCGGTGGCTCATGCCTGTAACCCCAGCACTTTGGGAGCCTGAGGCAGGCGGATCACCTGAGCTCAGAAGTTTGAGACCAGACTGCCCAACATGGTGAAACCCCGTCTCTACTAAAAATACAAAAAGTAGCCAGATGTGGTGGCGGGCACCTGTAATCCCAGCTACTCAGGAGGCTGAGGCAGGAGAATTGCTTGAAGGCAGAGGTTGCAATAAGCTGAGATTGCACCACTGCACTCCAGCCTGGGTGATACAGCAAGACTCCATCTCAAAAAACAAAAAACAAACAAACAAAAAACTATAGGGACAGAAATCAAGTCAGTGGTTGCCGGTGGATGGGGTGAGGCAAGAGGGAATTTGGGAGAATAATGAAATTGTCCTATAACTAGATTGTGGTAGTAACATGGTTCTATGCATTTACTTGTTTATTTATTTTGTTTGTTTGTTTTGTTTTTTGAGATGGAATCTTGCTCTGTCACCCAGGCTGGAGTGCAATGGTGCAGTCTTGGCTCACTGCAACCTCCGCCTCTCAGGTTCAAGTGATTCTGTGCACCAGCACGGCAGGCTAATTTTTGTATTTTTAGTAGATAGAGACGGGTTTTACCGTGTTGGCCAGGCTGGTCTCAAACCCCTGACCTCAAGTGATCCGGCAGCCTCGGCCTCCCCAAGTGCTGGGATTATAGGCGTGAACCACCACACCCAGTCATTTATATACATTTATCAAAACTCATTGCATCATAAATTGCAAGAGCAAATTTTACTGTATGTAAATATCTTAATTTTTTAAAGGAAAAAAAGTCCAAAATAAGTAGCTATAATTACCTTTTCCTTTTAGAAAAAGGCATTCATATTTTCTGAGCATGAAAGAACTACAGGCTCACTGTAGACATTTGGGAAGATGTACAAGGGATGTACATTCATCACGTGCAGAAAAGTAGTATTTCCTTGCTGTCAGTTTTATTGGTACAGAATACACACAAAGCTGGGACCATGCTGTGCATTTTTTAAATGAAATTATACGTTTTGCTTTCTGAAATATATTGTGCACATTTTTCATGTCATTAATTTTCAAAATCATGATTTTATGAATCAATATTTTATGTTTACTTAAGAGACAGAGTCTCACTCTGTGGCCCAGGCTGGAGTGCAGTGATGCAAAGCAAGCATAGCTCACCACAGCCTCGAACTCTGGGCTCATGCAATCCTCAGTGGTGGGATGAGATCTAAACCCCTGATATTCAGTCTCAGAAAGTCAGTAATTCCCTGCCTCAGCCTCCGGAGCAGCTGGGGCTGCAGGCCTGTGCCACTGCGCCAGGTTCAATTTATATTTTATTTTGTCTTTTTTTTCTTTTTTTTCAATGTATGTTTTTTAGCATTCCTCTGGTGTTAGAAATTACATTGTTTATATAATTATTGTCAATTAAAAATAAAAGAAAAAACCATACTGCTCCAATTTTTTACTTTGAGCAACTCTGATAACAACAACAAAAAGTTCAGTGGCGCCAACGCGTTTCCCTCCTGGAGTTTTCCGGTTCACCTGGTGGAGCGAGTCTTCTTGGCCTGCAATTCCCTGGTTGTTTTCAGCGTCTGCAGGAAAGGTGGTTCCACAGGGCGATGGGTGATCTGGCTTCTTTGTTCCTTTGTGGGGGTAAGGGCTGGGCACCTCACTATTTCCTGTGTTACCAGCTTGAATTTGCATCGCGCTGTTAATATTTAATCCTCTCCACATCCATGCAGGGTAGTAATTTGTTCCAGATCACACAGCTTATCAGTGGTGGAATATTCGGGACTTAGACTCCTGATATTCAACCTCAGTAAACGTCTCCCCAGCTCCAGGACGCTGCGTCATCTGGCTTTAAAAAAGACGTTTTTGGCCGCTCACGCCTGTCATCCCAGACTTTGGGAGGCCGAGGCGGGCGGATCACGAGGTCCGGAGTTCGAGACCAGCCTGGCCAACATGGTGAAACCTCCTCTCTACTAAAAATACATAAATGAGCCGGGCGTGATGGTGGCAGGCACCTGTAATCCCAGCTACTCGGGAGGCTGAGGCAGGAGAATCGCTAGAACCCGGGAGGCAGAGCTTGCAGTGAGCCGAGATCGCGCCACTGCACTCCAGCCTGGGCGACAGAGCAAGACTCCGTCTCAAAAAAAAAAAAAAAAAAAAAAAAAAAAAAAAAAAAAAAAAAAAACAAAAAAAAAAAAAAAAAAACCAAAAACGTTTCTCCCCTTACTGCGCAGAGCCCGGCGCACGGGGAATTCCTCTCTATCGAATGGACGCTGTCCCGTCCTACGAAGGTCCCTGGCGACACCGCCACGTGCCAGCGGGGATCACGTCGTCCCCACGGCCGGGACACCCGCTGCCACTGACCGAGGGGCCCCGGGAGCTGAGGGGTCGCCGCGGCGCTGCCCGCGGAGGCTGTGGACGGTGGGTCGCGACGCCGCCGGGCCGACTTTCACCCGGGCGTCCTGCTGGGGGCCCCGCCCTGCCCCAACCTCGCGGTCCTCGCGGGGGGCGCGCCTTGGGGAGCGAAGAGGCCGCGCCATCCTGAGGACGCGCTGAGGGCACGCGCGGCCGCCGGGGCAAAGCGTTGCCGGGGAGACCCGGGACCTGGCAGGAACGCAGCCCCTCTCCGTCCGCCGCGATCCCACAGTTCCCCGGTCCCGGAAGTGCCCTGGCCTCCCGGAAGTGCCGCAGCGGCTGACAGAGCGGCTGACGGAGCCGGGCTCGCCGGGTGGCTGCCGCGAGAGGGTTGGCGTGCTGGGGCCTGGGGGGCGGCTGGAGGCCTGAGTGGGGCTCGCGGCGGGGGTCGGCAGGGGGCCGGGTGGCGGAATGATGGAGGAGGAGGAACTGGAGTTCGTGGAGGAGCTGGAAGCCGTGCTGCAGCTCACGCCCGAGGTGCAGCTGGCCATCGAGCAGGTGAGCGTTCCGCCCCTCGGGAGGGGAGACGCGAGCGCGGGCGCTGGGGAGGCCGCGGCGGGTGGACGGAGGGCCGGGGCCCGGGGCAGCAGGGAAGTGACGTGGGGAGGGGGCCCGGGTGAGAAGGGGTGTCTGAATCAGAAGGAAAGGAAGGGGAACCCTGTCTAGGCTGCGATTGTCTTTGGCGAGGGCGGGGGGTCCTGGTGGGTTTGGGGAAAAGGAACTGTGCGCCGAGAGAGGACGGCGCGAGGAGAATGCGGACCTTGGGTGGCATCTTCAGATTCTGGGGACTGTGGGGGCTTCATTCATTTACCAGGCTCGTGCCAACGCCGCGGTTTCGCAAGCCGGCCCCTCGCGAGTGGCTTGGAACTGGGGGGAGGGCATGACTTTAATTTCTGACGCGGATGGCAGAGCAGAGAGAAAGGGTTGAAAAACGACATCGTTACCATTCTTACAAGGTTGACAGTTCCTACCGTTGAATCGTTTGGGTGAGGTCGGAGAATACTCCCAAGGGGTCTCCTTTCCCTGCAGGACCTTTTTTTTTTTTTTAAGATGGAGTCTCGCTGTGTCGCCCAGCCTGGGGTGCAGGGGCGCGATCTCGGCTCACTGCAACCTCCGCCTCCCGGGTTCAAGCCATTCTCCCGCCTCAGCCTCCCGAGTAGCTGGGACTACAGGCGCCACCACCACGCCCGGCTAATTTTTGTGTTTTTGGTAAAGACGGGAGTTTCACCATATTGGCCAGGATGGTCTCGAACCCCTGAGCTCAAGTGACCTGCCCGCCTCGGCCTCCCAAAGTGCTAGGGATTACAGACGTGAGCCACCACGCGCGGCCCTGCCAGCAGGAACTCTTCCCTTTGCAAGTTTATTGAATTTTTAAGGCTAATGATATTAGAAATAGGGATTATTTTATTTTATTTTATTTTATTTTATTTTTTTGAGACGGAGTCTCGCTCTGTCGCCCAGGCTGGAGTGCGGGGGTGCCATCTCGGCTCACTGCAACCTCCACCTCCCGGGTTCAAGCGGTTCTCCTGCCTCAGCCTCCCGAGTAGCTGGGATTACAGGAGCCCGCCACCACGCCCGGCTCATGTTTGTATTTTTAGTAGAGATAGGGATTCACCATGTTGGCCAGGCTGGTCTCGGACTCCTGACCTCAGGCGATCTGCCCGCCTCGGCCTCCCAAAGTGCTGGGATTACAGGTGTGAGTCACTGCACCCCGTCAGAAATAATGATTTCTAATACTGCAGGGTATTGCTCCTGATAAAGGGAGAAAATCTCCCTTAAAGGAATTGTCATGAAGTTTTATGATTTAAGAAAGGGATTTATGATTGAGGAAATGGACACGGTTCACTGCAACCTTTTTTTTTCAAGTTCAAGCCCTTTTCTTTTCTTTTCTTTTTTTTTTTTAGACGGAGTCTCGTTTTTTTTCCCAGGCTGGAGTGCAGTGGCGCAGTCTCGGCTTTTTTTTAGCTCCGCTTCCCTTTTTTTTGTCTAAGTTAAACATGATTTCTACTGTACCAGTTTTTTTTATATGTTGACTCTTTTTTTTTACCGTGGGCCTGCCACTGTACTAAGTAATGTATTTTTTTTTTTATAGAGGTGTTTTTTTTTGTGTGTACGTGTGTGTGTGTGTTTGAGACAGGGTTTTTTTTCTCATCTACCTCTTTTTTTTATGGTAGAAGGCTTCAGCTTTTCTAACAGTTGTTTTTTTTGACATTTGGATTCTTTTTTTTTGTATTTCTTTGGAAGGCTTCTTCAGAGATGAAGTTGCTTCCCACAGTTACAAGTCTATCAAGCTGGTGAGACCCAGTGTCCAGCAGATAATTTTTTTTTTTGTATCATCCTCCTTTTTTTTTGTTCTTCAGGTTGTTAGGGAGTTAGCTATATTTTTTTTTGGTGGACTGTTTTTTTTTTTTGATCTCACCCTGTCACCCAGGTTGAAGTTCAGTTTTTTTTTCTCAGCTCACTGTTTTTTTTCCTCCTGGGCTCCGGTGATCCTCCCACCCCAGCTTTTTTTGTAGCTGGGACTATTTTTTTTATGTGCCGTGGCACCCAGCTAATTTTTTTTGTATTTTTTTGGTTTCGCCATGTTTTTTTTTCCAGTCTCCAACTCCTGAGCTCAAGCGATCCACTTTTTTTTATTTTTATTTATTTTTTTTTTTATCTATTTATTTATTTAATTTTATTTTGAGATTTTTTTTTGCTCTGTCGCCTTTTTTTTAGTGTAGTGGTGTGATCTTGGCTCATGCAACTTTTTTTTTCTGGGTTCAAGTGTTTTTTTTGCCTCAGCCTCCTGAGTAGCTGGGATTACAGGTTTTTTTTACGACACCCAGCTTTTTTTTTTATTTTTAGTAGAGACTGACCTCAGGTGATCCATTTTTTTTGGCCTCCCAAAGTTTTTTTTTTACGGGTTTGAGTCACTATGCCTGGCCCTTTATTTTTTTTTTAATTGACAAATTTTTTTTTTATATATATATTTACGGTGTACTACCTATTTTTTTTTTTAATCCTCTCTTTCTTTTTTTTTGTTTCCAAGCCAGGACCCTCTAGATCGAGCAGATTTCAATGCTGTCGAATATATCAACACCCTGTTCCCAACAGAGCAAGTAAGTAGAGTTTCTTTTTTTTTTCCTTTCAGCGTTTTTTTTCGCATCCTGGGTGTCATGCTTTGCGTGCTACACTAGATCATCTACCGGCCCTTGATAAACAAGGGAGAGTCAAATTCAAATCAAACTCCATCGTTTTTTTTTGGGGCAGTGAGCTTTTTTTTGTTGGAATGGAATTCATTGTATAGTGAACATATTTTTTTTAATTGTACCCTTATTTTTTTTGAGTCCTCCCAAATTTTCTGTTGTAATGGAAAGTTTTTTTGATTTTTATAATGTTTTTTTTAAAGGTGGGGGTGAGGCAGGCAGGAGAAGCCCATTTTTTTGAAGCCACTTTCATTTTTTTTTCAAGATGTAAATTTTTATTTTTGTTTATTAGTTTTTTTTGTTTGTTTGTTTGTTTTTTTTGAGACGGAGTCTCGCTCTGTCGCCCAGACTGGAGTGCAGTGGC